TTTTATACCTCGAGGAATGATGGTATTACCTGCCATGTCCAGAATGTCTGGCACTCTCAGTTCTGTAGTATTTTTTCGATCCTCCTGTCAATCTTATGGGGCAGCATCAACCTTTTTTATAGACAGAGATAGTGACGTAGGAGATGGAACTGCTCAGCTTACATCGTGCAACCAGGCAGTGAGAGCCATGTTCATTCCAGCTGCTGAAAAACCTAATGTACTTTGGTGTGCATTTACACAAATGCCATTTCCAGATCCTGGGGCTTCCTGCTGTCTGTGCTTGGTTTGATTCACCCAGATCCCATCTGGAAGAAGGTGTTCATGTCTGGAGAGCCCCACATGAAGAACGATGGCCAGCTGAGGGCACAGTGGGCAGGACCTGTGACCTTTATGAGGGTCAGGGAATTGTGGAGGCAGGCAGGGGGTGGAGGGTGATTACTGTGATGCTGCTTATAGAAATCGTGTCTGTGTGTGTGACTCACAAGGAAGCAGATTTGGATCAATTCATTTTGTAACTGCCATTAGCACAGATCAAGGTGCTCGATAATGTAGGGCTGATCAACTGCTTCTGCGTCCATGCAATGAAACACGAGGTAACTATTGAGATGTGGCTCTGTATCATTGATAAAGATATATCAAGTGAAAAAATGATATACTGGAGTCCATTTAAAAATATTCATATACATATGATCATATTTACCCATTTAGAAAATGTTTGCAACCAGTGTTTCTCTCATGTGAGATTGCAGGAAAAATTTAAAAACATGTCAAGTTCTTCTATTTATTTATATGAAATTTGTGTAGAGATGAAAGCCTATTTATAGACATCCAGAGGTGAAATCAGTCTCTGAGGAAACAGGACTCTCCTGTCCCCCACCTCCACCCACTATGGGCCAACATGACAGGGACTCAGGAAGAGGAAAGAATTGGGTCTCTTTCAACTCAAACAGGAAAGCAGCAGGTATAAAGCAGTGTGATCCTACTTTAGGAAAACATGAAGAGAGTCCCTGGATTGCTGTGTGCACCAAGACAAACTTTTGAGTGTGGGGTTCTGCTCAGACGCTCTCAGATATAAGCTTCCCTCAACATGAGGGGTGTTGGGATGTTGCATGAGGCTTTATGGACAGCTGGGCTGCTTGTCCCAGACACTGGTTTAAGTAGGATATTTCAAGCAGGAGGAAGGGGATAAGGAGGATATCTTCACTCTTCATTTATCTCTCCTTTCTTCTTCAAGTCATACTCTCACCTCCTTGTATCAGGGACTGAACCAAGGGCCTTGCACATGCTAGGCAAGTGCTCTACCCTTGGGCAACACCCTAGCCTATTTCCTTCCTCAATGCAGAGTTCCCTTTTTAGGAACAGCCACCACCAGAATTGGCGATCTGAATTAAAGACAATAGTTCCAGGCCTTGCGGCCTTCTGGAAACTCGGACAACAGAACCTCAGGTTCCACCTCTGCCTTTCCCTGTTAGATTTGTGCCCAAGCCATCAGAACCAGGCAGGATTCAATAATTCTTGGCAATTATAACATCTCCTGAGAAGGTAAAACTTTTAATGGGAAGGCAGCTTCCCCAAGTTGAATGAAAATGGGGGCCAAAAAGGGAAAGAAAACAAAAAGAAGCAGAGACGAGAGAAAGGCCATCTTTGCTTCTCTCCCTCATCCCAAATGTAAGAGCAGAATCTCTTTATCCAGGTGGCGGAGTGGGCCAGGAAAGGCTCTTCCACTGCTGTTAGCTTCTTTTGTACAGATGCACACCACATGATGGAAGGGTGACACTGTAGGGAACCTCAAATGTCACAATTAAAAAGAACCCACACTGAATTTGAGTGCAAAAAATAAATATAAAATTTATTAAAACACCCACAATATTTTAAAGATACCAGGAGTAATACAGTTCACAAACCCAGTTGTTTGTGTAAATTATAATAAAATACAAATCAAAAAAGGATACATACTTGCAATTTCTAGGCACCCTAAATTAAATTTACTGAAACACTGGGGGAGAAGGGAGGGCAAGGAGGGGTAGCTCAGGAGGCAAACCAATAAAGTGGAAGAAAAAATATTAACAAAAAGGTAAAAATTTATACAAAATAAAATTATCAGCATAAATTTACTGTACTAAGAATATCTACAGTTTAATACACATCCTATTGCCTTGAGACATTGCAAAAATCTATCATTCATCCATCAACCCCAGATAAACTTCATTTCAAGTAGCCACAGTTTACAAAGTCAAGACGGAATATTCAAGTATGGTTGTTAAGTTCACCTCCATTGGAAGCCAAGTAACCAAACAGGAATTCAAAGAGATAAGAAATAAAACACACCAGAAAGCTACAGGAGTTCTAGATTAAGTCTAATGCATTAATATGCCACAAGACAACCATTCTTTGTTTAATTAAATACATGAAAAAGAAATGACATCACTCCTGTTTTTCTCCCCCTTTTTCCCTTCAATTAAAAAAAAAAGAATGAAAAGGTACTGGAACTAAGAAAATTTGGAATGTCAGATGCGCCAATTCATATTTTAAGTCCCCATGTGAAGAGTGATGAGTTCCCCCTGAATGACAGGTTAGCACAAACAATACCACTACAAAAAGCATCCCTGATATCAGAATAGAAGCAAATGAGGGAGTAGGCCAAATAGCTCACTGACTCTTAGGTAAAAAATCAACCTTAGACCTGGCATTTCTGCGCTGAGGCCTCTGCGCTGAGGTCTCTGCTCAGGGGAGACACCTATTGCTTTGCTTTTGCTGGCAGCTCTCTGGGAGGAAGTGCTGGGCATGCCAGGCAGGGCCCACACTTGTGGAGAAAGCTATGCACTTGTGAGTGTGGGACTGTATAACCTATGCTGAGCTATGCATCTCAAAAATGTTATTTTGGTCCAGGACTTATTGAAGTCAGCCACGTACTACAGCGGATGCAGCTGGCTAATAAACTAGGTCTTGAGGGAGTCACTGTAAATGACAGCAACAATGACTGAGAAAGCTCAATGAGATAGGCATAGGAAATTCACATTTTATTCAAAAGCAAAACTTAAAAAGGAAACAGAGTCAACCACATTCTTTCCTTTAGGCCTTCTGCCATTTTAACTAAGAATGAAAAACACAATGACCCCAGATACTTCAAGGTCAAGTATGTCATCAAATACACAACCTGCAGGTATCAGACCCTCATGGAATCTACTAAGTTGTCACAATGTCCTGTTTTTGAGGTATTTAAAAAAAAATTGTGACAGTGGATGATGCAAAAATGGGAGCTTCCTGTTCAGTTCTTAAAAACATCAACTTCTGTGGACCCAAGGAGAAATTTAGCACCAACTAAAAGCAGCCTCAGTGACATCAAGGGATAAAGAAAGCTCCTGCCTTTAGTCTGAACATGAGGGCCTACCAATAAGCACTGGAAGCCACACTGGAGCAAAGGCTGGGAGCAGCAAAGGAATGAACCCCTTGCCCACCATGGTCCCAACCAGTGCCAGGTGAGGAAGCAGCTCTCTGCACCCACTCCGTGGGCCCCTTGAGACTCCCAGGGACAGACACCTGCTCAGCACCTGGGCCACAGGAGAAACATGTGCGGCTCTGGCTAAGACACATGCTGCTCTAGACAAGGCAGGAGCACCCGACTCCCCTTCTTCAGAGAAAGCATTGCATGTCCTTGCCTTCCCTTTGGGCCTGAGAAGACAGGCGTGAAACCAAAGCACCCGCCAAGCCAGGCAGACTCCTCAGCAAGGAGTGAGCCGCCCTCTTGACTGCCTTTCTTTGTTTGGCCAAGGGAAGAACAATAAAATAAAACTAAAACTGCTCAGAGCAGGTTATAGCATGGTAAACAGAGGTCTAAGAAGACAGCACCAAACGAGGAGGAACAAAAAAAGCCAAGAGACTGGAGCCCACCTTGTTTTTGGTTGGTTGTGGTTTCAGAACGTTGATAGCACCTCAGCGAAACAGGATCAGGGACAGTCACATTAAAACACCATAGCACCATTTTATTTAGACTATTTCAACTCATAAAAATGCTTCCTAGTCCATAAAACACACTTCAGTAACAAAAGGAAAGATATTGGTTGAGGCACGTCAGGGATATATCAGAGTTTTCCACCAGCTTTGCCTTGGGTTGGGGTCATGGGGTAGTTGAATTTCAAGACGAAAGTCTGGCTGGGTTTCTCTCAGAGAAATCAGGTCACCATCTACTGTCAACCATCCTCACTCATCTACTGCTGTCTGATACAAAGCAATTAAGCTCTGAGACTTCTTTCCTTGCATGAGTGCTTTAAAAGTCCCTTGCTCTGCAAACTACAGTTTCCAAAACAGGCAGGGGAAGGATCAGAAGGGGCAGGTAGAAAACCTTTCTATGCACACCACTGTCATCTCAGGGAGAAGGCAAAGCAGTACCTGGGAAGCCAGGTGTGGGGAACTGAGGCCCTGCTAAAAACCAGACCCCAAACAAAAACTCCCAAATCTATGCAACACCGTTAGTCAAGCTTTCTGATGGTAAGATGATGGTTTTTTGAGCTAGCACCAGTTATTGGGTGAGAACCTGCTGCGAAGTGATTTTTACTTAAAAACAAAATCTCTTAGCACAGAACTTTGCAAGTACTTCCCTTGCACACAACAGGTAGGGAAAACAAAATAAAGCAAAAAAAAAAAAGGAACCAAACATTTGCACTACATGTGGACGGTGTCTGTGGACAGGGCACAATGGGGAGAGGACTACAAGACTCCATTTTCTGTTGCTATGTTACTCTTCAAACTTGGTCATGCTGTTAGGTTCTTTAGTTGCAATGGCTTTATTTTTCGTCTCATGATAAAAATGTTTGTCAACCATCTTTAGGACTTAAAAAATGATAATGCCAGTAAAAAATAAAAATTTGATTTTTTTTTCTTTAAGAAGCCTTCAGCAGCAAGGGGGGGTAAAGAGCTGTGCATAGTTACTTTTTAAATATACGTCTAAAGCATGCTAATTTCAATGACTGAGATTTGAGGTAGGTTATACATGTAGTGTGTAAAAATCAGCATGGGTTTGAGCACGGCAACAGCACCAGCTAACTCTCGGGACCCTGCTCAAAGGGGCGTGGGCACATCCCACGGAGCCTGCTTCTTGACTCGCCTCTCAGCAGCCTGGTTCCAGCCTTGAAGCTAATGACCCAAGACTGTGTGGGCTGGGGGACAGATACATGCTTGTAGCTTGTATTGGTTTCTCCTTTTATCTAATGGCTTTGCTACCAAAGGGTGACAAGGGGAAGAGCACAGTTAACAAACATCAGAGATCCACACATGCCAAGTGTCAGAATCACCTAGGTTACACTCAGGACCTTCCAAACCAACAGCCAACCTGGGGCTTCCACGGGTCAGACAGACGGTCACATTCTCAACGTTTTGTAAAATATCGTATTTCTTGCGTAAGATCATTTAAAATGAAGTTTTCAAGGCACCCCCGCATCTAACTAAGCACGGAGTCAAATGAGACCTGCATAAAAGTACTGATGCGATAAGCAAAATAGCATTTAAAGGACCCAACTTTTCCTCAAAACTAGAAAATTAGCATGCTCATTAAAGACTCTGCTTCCTTTAGCTTGTCAGACTGAAGGTCAGAGGTTTTCCTATAAATCTGAGTTCTGAATAATTCTAAATCCTGATAAGCTCTTGGGTATTTATTTCAAAAGCAATAATATTTCATTTTTGTCCTGTAAAATAAATGCAACTTTACAGAATATGGTAAAAGTGGAGGATAGACAAAGCACGTTAAATATTCAGCTACTATTTACAATTTCTCCCACAATTACATGTTAAAACGTACTTTTTCTTCAAGTTGCTGTTTAAATCTAGGCAAAAGTGCTTAAAAAAATCTTTTTACTATTTACAGTTAAAACCAGACCACATAAATGCTCAGGACATCTTACAGCGACTCTCCGCCAGTGCTTCCAAAAGGTTACAGTAAACACCCAGCGGATTGGTCTCAGCTCTTACACAAGGCACCTGGAGGCTCAGGAGCTTGCTGTTAGCACTGTCATCTGATTGTTAAACTCAATTCATAAAGAACCACATCTGAGTAAGACTGCTTAATAAATATCTGCTTGGCTGTCACTCACTGTGTAGCCATAACCCCTGTGTGTCCTGATGAAGCCCCCGCTCACCACACACGTCTACATGGGTAACTTGATATCATTTCTGCTAATACCACAGGAAAAACAAGCACTCCAAGAAGTCTGACTGGCTGTCAGTGAGTGTTGCTTCCAACTGTCAGCCCCAACCTCTCTCAACAATGTCACAAAAATGAAGCACCACATTCCCTTTTCAAAGAACTAAATGAATGCACCAGAATTTCAGAATGGGTGTGTTACAGGGGATGGAAAGGGGAGGAAGAAAAAAGAAAATCATCCAATGGAGAACTGGCACCAATGAGGAAGGAAAATCATAGCAACCTGTTAAAAACGTTTGACTCTTGCACTTTAAGTGTAGGCCCTGCTCCTGCAGGGAGCAGGAGAGGGTGGGCCGGGGAGGCATGCACCACTGTCCAATGTGGAGATCCAAGAAAAGGACAGGTGTGTTAACTGCTGTTACACTGGTTTGCTGAGCTCCCGCAGGACACAACCTGCTCAAGAGTCAAAGTCCCAGCACAACACTACAGCACCAGGCTCTGCACAGCTCCACGCACAGAGCCAGTTTGGCTCTTCACAGCTTGGGTTCAACTTCTTGTGTTAAGAGATACAGTAGCCCTTTTTCGGTATCAGCATAGATTTTGGGGCGATTTTTAAAAAACTGCCACTAAGACAAATTCTTTCGGCCCAGTATTCATTACCTTATCAACATGGTGGAGAGGGCTCTAGGAGCCTCTCAACTCCAACTCCAGCTCCAGCGTGAGGTGCTGCTGTCTAGTGAACCATGATATCCTGTGGACTTGATAAATAACGGACAGAGAATTCAGTGTGGAGACTAGCAAGCTTGACGCTGTCTACTCAACCTGGTTTCTGGGGAGATCTATGCCAGCATATCCTGGGCTGGGCCTGGGATGCCTCTGCCCAACTGCTGACTGGGAAGGGGCCCCAGAAGGTTCTCTGCAGCTTCTCCCATCCTCCTGGACAGGACAGAAGCTGGCCTGGGGGTTCCTTGCCCATGGGGGAGGGAAGGATAGACTAGGGCTACATGCTGCACTTGGCTCACCAGGGGCAGATGGCCGAGAAAACCTGTCAGCTGCCAAGAGGCCAGGCTTGCCAGTGGGAACAGCACTGTCGGCCTTTCCTGCCCATTCATACCATTACTTATTGTCGCTTTTAAAAAATCCAATAAATACACATTTTAAATGGAATTTAAAACTACTCCTTTGTGAAAGGACACTATAAACTTTCTTTCCATTATTGTGATATACAAGGATAAAGTTTTAAAAACAAAATAAAAGCCCCTCCTACAAGGGGAAAAATAAAACAATGTGGAGATATAAATATTAAGATCACGGAAAAAATCACCCGACAGCCGTAGTTTCTTCTTCAAAGTGCTGGGGACATGGGGGGGAGGCGGGTCAGTTCTGAGGTTTGGACCATAAATACATATATATGATAAGCATATCCATATATGTATATATAGATAGAAAGACTTCTGCACCCCCAACCCGCCCCCTGGTATGAGGGCAAAAGCACCACAGAGGCAGCTCGGGCTGGGCCCGACGCTGAGGTACGCTGGCTCCCTGGCACCTAGATCCAACGGCTGTAGGGGCCAGTGACCTTCGTGTAGGCGTAAGAGGACACGGTGACTGACGAGTCTGTGGGCATGGCCAGTGCCTGCCGGGTGGGGACAACACCCTTCTTCTCCTTGTGCTGGGGCTCAGTGACCATGGCACCCCCCCACTTGCGCTTCTTCCCGTAGAGCTTGGACTCCTGTTGGCCCAGGCCCAGCCGTGCGGCCTCCTCCTGCCGTGCCCGTGCCCGCTCCGCCAGCTGCTTCATCTTGGCCTCCCAGAGAGCCAGCCCATGGTTGGGCTGGTTGAGGTTCTTGTGCTGGTAGAAGACCAGCGAGATGCGGGTGGGGTGGCAGCGGTTGGGCTTCTTGAGTGGTGTGGTGGCGTGTAGCTCCCGCCGGGCACACTCAATGAGGATAGACCCGTGGGCAGGGGCCACAGCCACGCCGCCAATGTTCTCGTCCAGGAAATTGTGTTCGCTGTCTGACCACAGCTCTTCCTCCTCCTCCTCCACACTGGCCTTCTCTTCTTTCACTGCCCCCTTGGTAGAGGCCTCCTCAGCTGTCCCCTCCTCTAGGCTGAAGGGATCCCACAGCTTCTCTTCAGACTTCAGGGCCCCGAAGAGCTTCTCAGAGCCCAGGGGCATGCCAAAGGCTTGCCAGGCCTTGTCCAGATGGCTTGCCCCTGGGGTGGGAATTCTTCCCTCCTCCCCTTTCATGGGGTTCCACAACTTGTCTTGGTATCCAGAACTGCCTTTCAGGGCAGAGCTGAAATCTCCAGCCCCCAACCCCCAGGGCTTCTCAGTCAGGCTGGACCCAGGCAAGGCTGAGGTGCTGTTCCCAAACTTGCAAGGGCTCCATGACTTGCCTTGTAGCCGTCCTCCAGGATGGGGAGTGGGCTGCTGACCCTCGCTGGCGAACAGGCCCCACTGGCCATCTGGGAAGTGAGAAGGGGTTAGGCAGCTGGCCCCATAAGAACTGAGCTTGTCAGGGACAATGGCAGAGTTTTCCCCAGGAGGAAACACACCCCAGCTGCCACCTACATTGTTAGTCCTCTTCGGGGACATGCTTGGGCCTCCTGAGTACTGTCCCCATAGATGATTGGGTCCCCCATTCTGAGATGCTTCAGGCAAAGGTGTTTTGCCCATCTTACCAGGGTCTCTGGGTACAGATTCGGTCTGGACCAGTGGGTCCACTGGCTCTTGCTTGATGGATCTACTGTAGCAGTTAGAGCTCTGAGCAAAAGGAGAGGGGTCCCTGGACACTGGGTGGAGCTGGGGGGCCTTGGGAATCAGATACTCCTTGGGGCCTGGGTAAGCAGGCTGCTGGTGGTGAGGAGGAGTAGGGTGATGGGTGTTTGTAAGAACAGCTTGGCCAGGCAGCTCGGCAAACTCAGCACCACCGTACGCCGGGCTCAGGCTGTTGTGCAGAGCATGGAGGTCTGGCTTCTTCTCAAAACTGCCACTGCTGCCACTGTGCCCCCAGGTGCTAGGACCCAGGAACTGGGAGGGGAAGACAGGGTTGCTGGATGGAAAGCCATAGTAGCCAAACGATGGAAGAGCATACTTGGAGTGGAACCCATTGACAGAGGTCAGGCTGGGCTGTGCATAGTAGGAGTGGTAGGAGTACACACTGTTCATGCTGTAGGGGTCGGAGGGCCGGCAATTGCCCAGCACCGAGTAGCTCTCCACCACTGCGTTGCTGCTGTATTTGAAGGAGCTGAAGTGGTTCTGTGGCTCCACCTTGAGGGAAGGCTTCAGGCTTTGTTGGGGTAATGCACCTTTCAGAGACAGGCCTGGGGAAGAAGGCAAGGTGGAAAAGCAGCCAGCAACACCATACCCTGGCAAGATCTAGGGCAGAGGACTGGGGATGGAAGCTCCCTCCAAGATGTCTCCTCTTTCTGGAGAAGTGGGACAGGTGGGGCATACCCAAACTGGGAACCCAACTTGGCTCTTAAGCCACCCCTAAGTACAGACCCCAGCTCTACTTTGGGTGGGAGGAGGCAGCTTGCTCAAAGACCATGGCTGTGTCTACAACACGCCTCATGCTATGCTCTTGAATACCGAAGTTTTCCCTGAAGCACCATCACCCCACCCCTTCCATGCTGGGTCAGGACTACTGTAGGCACCAGGATCCAGGAAAAACGAGTGTAGGTGCCTACAACCCAGTCACAGCCCCAGGACAATGTTCTCAGACTGGGAGGATGTGTGAACATGCTATAGCATTCAAGAACCCAGGCCTCTCCATCTAACAATCACAGCTCTCTGAAGATAACACACCCACTTTGCACTTACTTCCCGCCCTGGTGCCTCCTCCTATCAGGTATCTTAACAAGTGACACAATTAAGCAGAGGCCCAAGGACTCTGTCTTGAACTGTCACAATGATGCAAATAGGTGGGAGGTAGAGCTCAGTGAGGGGAGTCCCAGAAGAACCAGGCCCATTCCAGCCCTGGTGGTGCCCGCTCCACACACCTGGGTCAGTAGCGATCCCAGCCAGCTCCAAGGCCTCTTGCTTGATCTTCTCAGGTGTGCTCAGCTTCTCTTTCTGAATCATCTTCTTCTTCTCAGCTGCTGCCCTCCTGGCTTCCAGCTGCCGCTGGCGGCAGGACTTGGCAGGTTCGGGCAGGCGCCGGACCTCTCGAGGGAAGGCTGTGAGCACCTGGATGGCCCCACTGCTCACCTTGGCATTCTGGTTCTCCTCACTGCCAAACTCATCCGTGCTAGCCATCTTGTACAGGGGAAGCACATGCAGCTGCTCGTCCTCAGGAATCTGGCCCACACAGCGATTGTCTTCCTTGGTTAGGGTGCACACCTGCCTCATACAGGGGGAGAGAAAACATAGGGCTGAGGACTAAGCATCGGGAGGCAGGGATATGAGTTTGAAGATGTGACCTGGTCAATCCCCAAGTAGTCCCCCTGCCAGCCATTCACAGTCCTCCCTCTCCCTACTACTTCTCAAAGTCTAAAAATCTCATCCATTTTGGCCCACAGAGTAAAAGCATCACCATGATGTGGAGTGCGTGTGACAGCTTTCAAAGCAGGTCTGGTCATGTTACAACCTATGTCCCTGACACAGCTGTGAGGAGGAGATGACTGGCATAGGGTCACACAGCTGATAAGGGGCAGGGCCAGCACCAGCACACCAGGAAACTCAATGCCTGGCAGCCCAGCATTGCCACCACTGCATTTCACCTAGCTGAGCCTCAGACCTAACACCCTTGTCCTCCTTGTCCTGAACACTCAGCTCCTTTTGTTCTTAAAATAAGTTTTTTGTATTAAAATCTATGTTCTGGTTGTATAAAACTTAGGCAAGCAAAAAGAGAATAAAACCTATCTCCACAATCCTAATACTCAGAAATAATTACTGTGAATACTTGGGTCATTCACATATACACATGCACATACACATTTTTGGTAATCAAATAGGATACTATGCATGAAGTTCTAACTTCATTTTTCTTAAATATTTTATGTATTAAATATCCTTCCTGATGTTTTTGAAGAGCTCCATAGTATTATTCCACTTTATCAATGTGTTACTTAACAATATTATCAAATATTTCAAATTGTTTCAGAATCTTCCCTACCATAACACACATTTTGAAATTGTTCAGCTATATTTTCTAAGATACTTAACTCCTTAGAATAAATGCTGTGAAGCAGTCCTGCCAAACTGTTCTCCAAAATTATTGTTTTTTACTCATACCAAAAATTGAGTTTTAATTTCTCCATATTTTGCAAGCACAAGGTCCTGAGTTCAATCCCCAGTACACCCCGCCAAAATTTCTCCATATTTTTGTAAATAATTATGCCATTAATTTCTTTATCTCACTGTTACTTTACATTTCTCAACAAGGCTTCCCTTTTTTTTTCAAGTTTACTTTCTTCAGGTACATCCTTGGCCTATTTTCTATATTCTTGCTGCTGTGGCTTTTGAGGCCTTGTTCCTAGAAAGACGGCCCTTCCTATGCTAGTTAATTTCTGCAGATAGCAAATGGTCTCCCTGAGAATACACCTTTGACACACAAACCAACCAAAATGGAAGCCCAGTAGCCATTTTTTTTTTTTTTTTTTGGTACTGGGGATTGAACTCAGGACCCTGTGCTTGAGAGGCAGGAGATGGCACAACTGAACTAAATCCCCAGCCCTCCGGTAGCCTCTTTTATCAAACTCACACAGCAAGCTGGTATTTTCCAATGCCCTAAATCACTGTCGGGCCAGGTGTCTATAGGTGCCAGTGACCACTTCCAAAGCCCAAAGCCTGCTGAAATTATCCATACCGTTCAGTCTTAAACTTACTCAGTGTACCTACCCTGCCTTACTCCTTCTTGAGGAACACAAAGTATCCAGCCCCCACTTCCCTGGCTCCCTGTGCCTCCTGACAGACCCTTGTCTTCCCTGTGTGGCCTCCTGCATGGGATGCAATGCCATGCTTCTGCTTCTAGGGATTAGTGAGTACAAATTTCTTTGATGACACTCATTTCTACATCTGTGTATCTGAAAACACCTGATTAAAACAAACCTTGAATAAATTTTAACACAGCTCTCTTCTTCCTTTTTGAGGTTTTTTTGGTACTGGGGATCGAACTTGGGACCTTGCGATTATGAGGCAGGCAGTGACACCACTGAGCTAAATCCCCAGCTCCCTTTTTGAATTTATGCCTTTTTTTTTTTGAGACAGGGTCTTGCCATGTAGTTCAGGCTGGCTTTGAATTCACTATGTAGTCTAGGCTGGCACTGAACTTGCAGGGATCCTTTTGCCTCAGCTGAGTGCTGGGATTATAGGGGTGCGCCACCATATCTCAGCTTTTGCCTGTTTTTACACTATTCACTTTTATCATTATAAAGTCATCTTTGTACATCTAGGTTGTCATTCATCAATACTGTTGCAGATGGAGCTCTGTGCATTGCCACCATTATGAGCACTGTGTCTTAGGAACTGCTTAACTCAAAGACAACTCAAGTTATCCATTTTGGTACTGGGCTTTATATTTGATGTTTTATTTATTGATAATGGCAACTTCAAGAATCCTTTCATTCTGACTTCCTGCTTTGGGTTATGCTCCACCCAGCCTCTGTGCCTGTTTCTCCCCAGCACACAGAGGTCTCCAGACCATCTCTGCTGACAAGACTTCTGGGTCTGTTCTGGGTGGGTCTGGACATTGGCCTTGCTTCCTCCCACTCTGGACACAAGTGCTCTAAACAACAGGGCAAAGGTCAAATGCAAAGGATCATATATGATAGAAACTGTGCTGCTATCCCTAACACATGGAAAGATAACTTCACACAGTTATAGATAAGGCAATTCTGATTTTAAAAATAAGCAGCAAAGGACATTAATGGAATTCACAAAGATGAAATTAAAATGCATAAGGAAAACAGGAAAAGATGTTCAACCTCTCAATCTTCAAGGAGACAAAAATTCAAATGAGACTGTATGTTTTCCAATGAGACAGGAAAAGACTAGAGTGACAAAATCTAGCATTGCTGGTGAGCCAAACAGGCACTCTTAGCCTGCAAATGTGAACATTCTTGCCCTGGAACCTCAGGCAGACTAACCACACCTCTGCACACAGCTGTCCTCCTGGCTTACAGAGGGAAATGTCTGAAAGCACTTATTGTCTGTCCATGGGGACTGATTAAATACGTGATGGCAGAACTATTCATACAGCCTTAGCAAATGTGGACATAAATCCATATCCACTGACACAGAGGGCTTGAGGTATCCCTGAGTTAGGAAGAGCAAGTCATACAAAAGAGCCAAATATCTTTACTGGGAGAAAGATAACTTCTTTAATAAATGGTACTGGAAAAACTGGCTTTCCACATGCCAAAGACTGAAACTAGACCCATATTTTTCACCATGCACTAATCTAAACTTGAAATAGATCAAAGATCTAAATATTAAAACAGAAACACTAAATCCACTGGAAAAGAGAACAGGTAGAACACTTGAGGACACAGGAGTAGGCAAAGACTTCATGAACAGAACTCAGACCTCATGGGAAATACTACAAAGAATCAACTGGGACCTCATCTTATTAAAAAGCTTTTGCACAGAAGAGAAATCACCAGAGTGAAGAGACAACCCACAGGGTTTTATACCAGCTATCCAGATAAAGGACTAATATCTAGAATATATAAAGAACTAAAAATAAGTCAGACCCCCCCATCCAAATTTAAGGGCCCAATGCAGAAATGGGCATCTGAAATGAAAATATACTTCTCAGATGAAGAATTAGAAATGGCAAATAAACATATGAAAAAATGTTCAACATCACTGGTTATTCATGAAATGCAAATTAAGACAATACTGAGAGTCAGTCTCACCCTAGAAAGAATGGCTGCTATCAAGAAATCAACCAATAACAAATGCTGGAAGGGCTGTGAGGAAAAAGGAACCCTTTTCCAATGTGAGTGTAGACTGGTGCAACCACGGTGGAAATCAGTGTGCAGATTTCTCAAAAAACTAAAACTAGAGGTTCCATTTGACCCAGCTACTCAGTATCTTCCAAAATAATTAAAAGCATCACACCACAGAGATATATGCACACCCATATTTACAGCAGCACAGTTTGTAATAGCTAAATCTTGGAAACAGCCCAAATGCCCATCAACTGACAAGTGGATAAAGAAGATGAGGATTTTATACAACAAAGTACTACTTCTGCCATAAAGGATGAGCTTCAGACATTTACAGCTAAATGGATGGACCTCAGACCATAATCTTTTTCTTTTTTGGGGGGGCACTAGGGATCAAACTCCAGTCCTTGCAAGGCAGGTGGCAGCACCCCTGAGCTAAACCCCCAGTGAGACCATACTCTTAAGTGAAATAAATCAGACATATGGACAAACGTGTTTAAATACTGCATTGTTTCGCCAATGTGAGAAACTGAATGTGGAAATAAAGACTGAGATGTATAATGGATGTTGGGAAATGGGAAGAAAGTGTTCAAATGGGAAGGGGAACAAGGGAGGAGGGAGGGAGAACATAAGGAAGGGACAAGAAAAAAGTGAAAACAGGAAAAAATGGAACAAAGCTTTTGTACACAAGGAGAAGAAAAAGCTTGTGGGTGGGAATGGGATGATAAAGTTTAATTTAAAAAAAAGAAGAGCAACTCATAGAACAACATGAAGATATGTGACTTCACTGGTACGAAGTTTTATACAGTGTGTATACACTGTACATACACACATCTGAATGGATGATCATCAAATGCTAACAGCTGTAATCTCTTACCAGATTTTAGATTTCATATTATTTAAAAGCCTTACAATAATAGTGACTATTAGGAGAAAATACTTTTAACCTTGAAAAAAATATTATTTGGTTCACCTCAAATTCTAGAAGCTCTGAGATACATGTAACCTCACTAGGCCTATCTCCAGTGCTGCCTCTTCCTCTGCCTCTCTCTGACCCCTGAAAGATCTGCCTTTTCTATATATTTCAGCTAGAAATCTTCATGCTAGCGTAGACAGGAGACAGCCACATCCTGCTTTACAGCTTTGTACACAAGAGACAAATGACAAAGTGGAGAAATGAAATTCTGGGACGGGGCCATCAATTCCCACAGGGTTAAGAGCTACAACCAGTCTAGGAGCACCTGCATCTTCCACAGCCGCCAGGAGCACTTCCTCCAAAGGACCTGGCTGAAAAGCAGAGTAGAACACTGACTGCATCCTTCTGAGCCCAAGCTTCTTATCTGCTCTGTCCACACTCACTCTCTTAGAGAACCCCCCAAGCCTCTGGGCTGGGAAAGTCCATGCTCTCCAAAGCCTCCCACTCCTCTGCCTGCTCCACATTGCACCTGAACATCTGACAAGCATCTCCAAACAGAATGCCTGATTTTCTCTGGTCTCCTCCCACTGTTCTACTCCACAGTTAATGGCACCAACATACACGGGCTACTCAAGCATCTTCTATAGCTTTATTTATTGCTTACTTTATATTTCTCCCTTATGGTCTTCACTGCTACCCGTGCATCATACACATGGGCGAGGACTTCATCCATTTTATTCCCCAGCAGTCAGCCAGGGCTTGAGAGCGGAGCTGGTGCTCAATACACATTTGTTCAATGAATGAATTAGGGTTGTTTGGATTTAAATCCAGGAGTTCACAGAGACCTGGAACCATACTTTATATATAAACAGGGAGTCCAGGCACCTATGGACTGTGTCATGCATATCTACCTGAGAGAGAGAACCCATGGCCAGCACTGTTCACTCAACCCAGTGAGGGTTTCTCTGAGGAGAGGGCAGGAGCAGGTAGTCAGGCCAGGTTATCTCCCAGAGTTCTGAAAATCCTGCCTCCATGTCCCTCCCTGCTCTGAGTCCACCTTCTGCACAGAACACAGTCAGGCTTTCTTTCAGGACTGTCATGCAGCTGGGGCTGGGACAAGACACAAGCTTCCTTACCACAGTGCACCCATTATAGAGGTTATGCTGGTCCTTGTGGGCGTGGGCACAGAAGTCCATGCAGGCCGTGACCCCGGAGAAGGGCCTTCCTTCCTTCAGCCCCAGGCGGCAGTCGATTGCTATTTCCTCATTGGTCACCTGTGTGAATGGCCAGAGAGTTGCTTATGGGATCTGAGGTAAGTGGCCCTGACTATGTAACTGGAGAGCCTTGAATTTACAGTATGGGGGAAGTTTATCTGGTTGAGTTCCCAGCTCTAAAACAATTTTTTGTCCTGTTTAACAGATACCAACCAGTATGTTTATTTCAGTAACATTATAAGGTAACAATTCTCAGCAAGTCAACCTTAGTTGGTAATATCTTAGTGAATTCTCCCATGTTCAATTATATCTGCTAAACTATTGTTTTTTTTGTTTGTTTTTATTTTTCTTTTTTTCGATAGGGTCTCATTGTATAGTTCAGGCTGGCCTTTAACTCACTATGTAGTTTAGGTTGGCTTCAAACTCACTGTGATCCTCCTGCCTCAGCCTCCCAAGGGCTGGGACTCCAGACAAATTCCACCATGCTTGGCTCAAAACAATTATTTTCAGGGCCTCTTTCTTGGTTACCTCAACCCCTGCCTCACATGGAAGATGCAAGGTTGTGGAAGGAGCTCCAGTCTCAGTGGTAGAAACCAGACCAGAAGGAATAGATGATTAGTAAGGGAGGGGTTGAAGACTGGGGCTTTAGAGAGGTAGTGTGGGGGTGCAGTTAGCTTAGTACAAAAAGGGTATCAAAGAACATCTTTGCTTTACTTTTGAACTGGGCTCCTTCTATAGGAGCACAAAGGAGTCCACACTCCCAACTTCAGGGACCCTTATCCTCACTCTTTGGCAGAATGGATGCCTTGTGAACAGGGAAAAGCCTAGGCCTAATACCTGGTTTTGATAAGCCTGAGGAGCCAGCTGCTTGTATAAGGGAGCGACTTCGGTGGCCAGGTCCTGGAAACTTTTCCGGAGCACCTCTTCCTGCAGAAGAAGAGCAGGAAGAGCAGTCATCACACACATCCAGGGTATGGTATGGCAGGCATGAAAAAAACTGAACAACAGGTATGAAGGTGGTCAGCACTGAGAGCAAGACCTGTTCATGTGTCCTGGGACTAACTGGAGCAGCAGCTTAGCAAGTCAGTAAGACTTAGCCTTCAGGAAGTAGACTTTCCTAGTGAGCCTCAGTCTCCCAACTTTACAAGTGGATGTGGAATGGACTGGAGTTGCAGCTTAGTGGGAGTACCTACTTAGCCACTAAAGCCCTGGGTTCAATACCTAGTACTACAATAAAATAAAATGCTATAAAGAAATTTAAAATTGACAAAATGCACATGGCAGAGAGAACACTGTAAAACCCCAATGGCATCTACCTTTTCACCCTCCCACTGATACTCTGCAATGGTTCTAGATGGTGGTTCTTCTCCGGTGTGCAAAGTTTATTTGGCCAGGTCACTCTTGCACAGGTATTCCTACCATACCACAGGATTCTGTGCTAGAAATTCCATGGCTTGTGGGAGCCTGTCATAGGCCAGATATTCAAAAAACTCCAAAGCACTGGAGCCACTAGACACGTATCACCTAATTAATGTGTTAATCACAAACCACATGTGGCTAATGAAATGTAAATTAATATTAAATAAAATTACAAATTCAGTTCCTCTGTCACCCCAGCCACATTTCAAATGTTGAGTAGCTCCATGTTTCTCATGCACTGGACAGCAGAGAACATTTCTATCAGAAAAAGTTCCTCTGGACAGCATCACTCTAGACAAAGTAGAGCCACCCAGTTACAATTAGGAGAGTTGGATATACACAGCCTCTTTCCAGCTTTATTCGGTAGCAAGTGGGCTTGCCGGAAGGCTTTGAGCACAGGCACAAAGAATTCATAAAGAAGTAAGCAGGCAGAGTAAGGGAGAGAAAAAGAACCAAGTACATAGAATTAGAGATGGAAATCAAGAGCAGTGGCTCAGCTATACCTTCAGTGTTGTGGCCAGGGCTTGGCCATCTTCCTGGCTGTGCTGATGCTGCCACCAGCATAGTGGACCTCAACCCAGCCCAGCACAGGATGAGCTCTAGAGGACTCAGGCAGGTCTGGCACTGCCTTCCACATGAACTAGCCATGGGACCTTACTCAAGCCATGGCCTTCCTGTGAACTGAGGCAGCAGTGTCCAGATCCCTGCAAAGTGATCGCCATAGTATCTAACATATAGTAAGCATACAGGAAATGCTGCTTTCAACAATGAGGGACGAGTTTATGGAAAATTACAACAATATCTTTACATTCCTAGTAATTCTTAGGTCTTGATGGTCCTGGAGCTTTCTCCATTCACCAAAAACAATTGCACTTGCTGCTTCAGGAAGATGGTAGAGCCTATCTCAAATAAAAGTCTAGTATCAATTTGAGGGGTATTTTAGGGAGCTATTTTAAGCTTACACAATAGTCTAAGAACTACATTTTGGGGGAATAAAAGATTTGCAAACTTTTATTTATAGACAGCAAAGCTTGGAGGTGGGAGCATACATGTTTATAGAGGCTGTGGAGCAGAGAAGAGGTGCCCAATAGCCATCCCTGCCCTGTGGGAAGAAGGGAAGCACTTCCAGGACTGAGTGCTTGGAGAACTGAAAGGCTGAGATAGAATAAGATGCTGTCTAGATCCCAGCAATGGGAGCCAGCAACAAGACCCAGCATGTCCTCTCTTAGGAGCTGAGGCAGGAAGAAGGCTAGAGATGAAATGTCATGAGGCCAGAGGGCCTGAACCTTCTTTACATTTGGAATTCTGAGTGGAGAGCACCTCTTGATACAACTGTTGAAGCATGGGCTACAGAGAAGAAACAGCAGGGAGAGGCAGCCTGAGCTGACACTCATGGCTTCTACATCCTCAGCAGGGCCTTTAATGGAGATGCAAGGGCCCTGTCCCTTTGGTCCTGGGAATGGGGAAGAGGCCCTTTGGGTGAGGCCCTGGTAAGAAGACTGCAGAGAGGAGGCCCCACCTCGGCAGCTATACTGTGTGGATGTCAGCCCGAAACCAGAGGAATAAGTACCCATTATGGAGACAGTGAGGTCTGGACACCCACCCAAAGAATCTGCCCAGCAGCCAGGCAGGATATGGGATGCCTCAGGAAATCTAGCAGAGAATCAGAAGGTGGCTCACACACTCATGTCCCTGTTCCTCTGCCAACCAAAAAGATGTGATGGGGATGAAATGACCCTTTGAGAGGACCAATTCTAATGAGGAACCTGAATGTGTATCTTAAAGATTTACTAACTCAACTTTGAGGCTGAGGTATCTGTAACTTGTAAGTCTAACTTTCATTCCTCCAGTCCCTTCACGCAGCTTGTTTCACAGCAAGATAAGGTTATTTTAAAAAACCAAAGGCAAGCAGGTTACATTTTCTAAACATCCGTGTTGTGGCATGCTAATCCTACCTCCCATTTGACTGTTAAGGACTCCAGATGGGAAAGGTTGAGAGGGAGGGTCTCTGCTGTCCCTATACCGCTCTGCTCACCTCCTTGGGGTTGTCCCCTGCGAGGCGGAACTTGCGAGGTGTCTTGCTTCGAGCGTATTTGCAGCCATTGAAGTACATGCTCCAGGAACAGCCAAAGGAGAAGGAGGCACCACAGGTGTTAGGGTCTTTGCCTTGGCAAGCGCAGGTCCGGCTGAAATGTACAAAATAGGTTATGCATACAGAGGCATTATCTCTGTTCTAGAATCTTCCTCCCTCGAGGGAAGTGCTGGAGCCTGGCATCCCACAGCCTTCCAGTGACTGAGGCTCATCCTTCCCTGCCCCATCCTTCTTCAAATTTCCTTGAGCAGAAAGGCAGCTCCCAGAAGCCAGTTCTGCAACAGCCTTGCACTGAAAGGTCTTACCAGAGTCTGCTGTTGGGAGAAGCATGTGGATTAAAACAGGGGGAAGAATCAGTGAAAGCCTTGAAAGGGTCACATTTTGCCTTAACTCTAATATCCTGACTAGCTCCGATGCAGACCCCCAAAACAGGGAATGACGTGAGCCTCAAGGCTGGGACATGTTTGCTTCCTACAGCCCAGATACCAACAGGCCTTGAAATAAGCACAGAGTGACATTGAAATTTAATGGAAACAACCCAAATGCCCCTCAAGTGGAGAACGGATAAACAAATGTGATGCTTCCACAAAGTGGAATACCACTCAGTAACTGAAAGGAATGCACTCCTGACAGCACAAAGCAGCCTCAAAAACATCAGGCTCGGTGCAACAAGCCAGGCTCAAAAGGCTACCCACTGTATCATCCTACATATGTGACATTTTCACAAAGGGAAACCCACAGGAACAGGAAATGAGACATAACTGCCAAGGGCTAGGGGAAAGAGCTGCTGATAAAAGGCATCAGGGAATTTTTAGGGGGCGATGGAAGTGTTCTATATCTTCATTGTGGTGGTGGTGGTGGCTGTATGACCGTAAACTTAGTCAAAATGTTCCAAACTATATACCAAAAAGGATGTCATTGAAAATAAATATACCTTAACCAAAAAAGGGGAAAAACACCAATAAAGGTAGGCTTTGTAAAGATCACCAATACTTTATGTTTGTCACACACAGAGACACTTTTTTCATGCTTGTTAACATTACTAGGGTGTCAGCACGGGTGTGGGGTTTAACAGGGAAGCTAAGCCAAGTCAATAGTCGTTCCCAAGCCAGAGCTGGCACTCAGCTCAGGGTCTGTGGATAAACATTCCTCAGCCACAGTCTCAACTCTGCAGACAAACAGGGCCATGGGAGGGAACTCTTACCCAGGATTACCCAGAATCTATGTACCTGCTGCCCAGTGCCCTGCTGGGGAACTTCACCCCACCTCCCCTGTCCCCATCCTCTATACCCTTCCACATACTCATCATTGAGGCCACATCTCCGGCTGGTGGGGTTCCCATACTTCCGGAGGGTATCAGTGAGCTCTTGGTAGAGGGTGTCTCCCAGGCTTCGGGGGATGCCCTCCCAGGCCAGGATAAGGATGACAATCACAGCATTCTGGCAGTGGTGGCCTGCCCGGTGCCGCACCAGGCAGAGCAGCTTCTCCTCCAGTGTGTGCCTGCGAATCACCTGTGGGGACATGGGGCTGCACCGTTAGCCACTGGAGCCACGTACCTTTCACTGCTACACAGACCTGGGTGTGCAGGTCTTTAGGGTAGTTTCTCACAGGTGTCACGCTGGTGACAGCAATCACACAGGTTAAGAGATGTTATGATTAGGGAGTAAAAAAAACAGAAAAATTATAATAGCAAAATAAATTACTACAAAGTCTAAGACACTGGTAGGTTACATAGGTTTAAGGGTAAAAAATACACAGATAAGACCATAAGTCAGAGATTTTATGTTATTTTAAAACATTTGCAGAGAAAATGTGGCATATCTGTATTGATAGTTTAAAAAGCAAGGGACTTGGCACTGTGGAAAACAGTTGTGGTTCCTTAGAAAGCTAAACATAGATTTAACATACAAGGTATGACTGAAAACTATGGTGGGTATTTAAATAAATAAGTAACTTGTTGCAGTAAGACAACGCTGCCATTAATCCCCTTTAAAATACTCCCCCCATCACTTCAAACACACTTAGCCCAGCATTCTTGTCACTTTCTGAAGCAGCTCTGGAAGTCCTCTTTCCTGACTGTCTTTAGTTGTGTTGTCATGGTTGCTTCAGTGTCCAGAACTGATTCAAAACATTAACATTTCAAGGTCGTTTTGACTTTTAGGAAGAGCCAGAAGTCCACAGTGCCAGATCCCATGAATAAGGTGGATGAGGGTACAGTTTGTTTTTCCCCTCAATCCTGTGGATTGAACATAGGGCCTCTGCATTTAGCTACACACCTGGGCCTTTTTTATTTTTAATTTTGAGACAGGGTCTCATTAAGTCACTAAGTTTCCCTAAGTGGGCTTAAATTTGCAAAGCCCGTCTCAGCCTCCCAGTGCTGGGACAACAGGTGTGTGTCACTATGCCCAGCTCACACTGCAAAAAAGTTTTTATGAGCCTACCTTTCTGCTGAATGGCAGCAGCATTCACTGTATATTTGATCACATAAAAACTGCTGGAATGGTAAGAATGATGGGATAAATGTGTTCAAAAGGAGCAGGAATATTTTACAAGGGACTAATGTCAATGTGTCTTTTACTGTAAGTTTTAAAAATTTACATATTTACCATATATTTTGATCACTCCTTGTATGACCCAACAATTCTAAGACTTGCAATATACCCACAGTACTAAATGCAGGAACTCAGTTAATTGCACACATATGTCATTTGCAGTGTGATTCACAAGAGGTGGAAACGACTCAAGTGTGTCTGTCAGATGATGAATGGATAAACACAATATGGTATATATGTACAACACAATATTATTCAGCCATAAAAAGGAATGAAATTCTGACACAACACAGATGAACCCTGAAAGCATTGAGCTAAATGAATTAAGTCAGACACAAAGGACAAATATTTTATGATTCCACTAGTATGAAGTGCCTAGAATAGATTCAGAGACAGAAAGCAGATTAGAGGTTATCAGAGGCTAGAAGGAGGGAATAAGGAGTTACTGTTAATGGTGTTTCACTTGGGGATAATGACAGTTTTGGAATCAGACTATAGTGATGGTTGGAATAACTATATGGACATGTTTAATACTACTGACCTGGACACTTAAAATGGTTAAAATAGCACCTTTATGTGTGTGTATGTGTGTGTATAATGATATACCAAAAACTGTTGAATTGTACACTTCAAGAGACTGAACTATAAAGTCTGTAAAGTATTACAAGTAATTATCTTAATAAAGTTGTTAAAAAATGACTGAGCATGGCACTGCTCTGCTACTCAGGACCTGGCCCTTCCTTCATTCAGGTTCAAACTCCCTTCCCACATAAAAGCTGCACCAGGACAAAGGGTTCTGGGAGCTGGGGAGTGAGGTGGCTGAGTCTCCCCAAAGGATCCTAAGTAGCTATGACCATATGTAACAATGGAGCCTGAGAGCAGGGGTGGGCTGAGGGAAGGTGTAGAAGAGATGAGAGGCAGGCAGAGGGACAAGGCTTAAAGGTGGGGAATCTGTAAAGCTGTATAGTCTACAGAACAGTTTCGTACCTTAGGAAAGGGGGAAAATGATGAGACAGGGAAATCAGCTGGTAACATAAGCAAATATGGGTAAAGTCCTAAAATATGGCAGTGGGTAAGGAAATGAAAAGAAATGGATTCAAGGGACATCTGCGAGAAAAGTGACTTTGGGAACATCTGTCTATAGGGGCTGAGGGACAGGGAAAGGTCTTAAGTAACTTCCACATTCTGTGGCTTAGGAGCCTGGGGCAGGGGTGATGAAAGGAAAGCTGGGGGCATCTTGGCGTCAGGGGACCCAGCAACACTTGATTAGCTATTTCTACTAGGCCTCAGCAGAGTGGATCTGGAGGTCAAGAGATGCCTGTGCTGTGGTCATGAGTATACCTGGGTAGGAGCTGTGGTAAAAAGGGGTAGCCAAGCAGAAAGTACCAGTGAAGAAACAAGCCTGATGCCAGGCCAGGGAGTGGTGTGGACCATGGCAAAGTAAAGATCACTGATCCAAGGGGCAAGAATTTCGTAGGAAAAAAACCAGAAATATAGAATTTTCCATAAAATTTCCCCTTTAAAACCACATTCATTTTTTGTTGTAGTGGTGAAATATATACAACATAAAATGTATCATTTAAGTGTACACTTCAGTGGTATGTGGTATATTCACATTGTTGTGCAATCACCATCACCATCTCCAGAACTTTTTTACCTCACAAAACTGCAATTTTATTCATTGAACAACTAACTCTCCATTCTTCCCTCCTGACAGCCCCTGGCAACACCATTCTACTTTCTGTCTCTGTAATTTTAATTCCTCTGGGTACCTCTGAAATCATGTAAAATTTATTCTTTTTGCGACTGGCTTATTTTGCTAATGTAATGTACTAAAGGTTCATGGGTGTCATACAGCATGTTTCAGAACTTCCTTCAAACCTTTAAAGGATAGTCTCATGCTAACTGAAACACATCTCTGGCCATGAGTTCTTGCTTTGAGGCAAGGTGAAACTGTTTCCTTCTCCTTACTGAAACATTAATTGTATTATAATGTTTAAAATTGTATTTGGGAAAGCAGTAATACATCAATAAGTTCTTAGGTAATATATTGTATTATAACTCCCTGTGATTGCCTGGCTCCTCACAGACTGAGCTGGGCCTATCGTGGGAATCAACACCTCTGTGGACACTGATATGACAGTAGTCCTTTGGCACTACAGTCAACCTTTGCTCATTGTTTGGGTTACTGCTGACTAAAAGCACTCATGAGACATGTGTTCAGAGCATACAGTGGGACACCCAACCAGCCAAAGCTGTGGTTGAGGTTGTCATTTTGACTTCCCAAGTGGCTAATGCACAAATGTCATTAGGTACAAGTTAGACACTCCTTGTGGTCTCTGAACTAAGTAAGTCTATGCCTACACTCAAAACTTTACAAAAGAAAGCAAAAACAGAGAAAGCTGGTCCACTGTCATACTCCACTGAAGGAGCTCAGAAGGATGGAATGCACAAAAATGTAAATCAAAACGCAAGGAGAGGCACAAACCCTTCAACTCAACACTGCAATATGGACAGTTCACATATTGCAGGAGAACTGTAAAGTCTCATCCAGTCTTTAAGCAGGAATCCCTGGGCATGAACCAAAGGCAGTGCAACACCCTCACGGAAAGCAAAGCCTACCTGCCCATAAAGGGGTTTCCTGAGTCAGTCCTCACCACCCTATCATGATAGGCTTTCAAATACCTGCCTTCTGACCTCTGCTACCTTTACTCTCTGCTCTCTGGCCCAAGAAGCACCTACCAAGGCAGTTTCTGCTGGCCTCAAGATATGTACTTCTGCATTTACGCTAAGCTTCTGAATGTTCTCTGGGCACTCCCTCTCTCCCATGTTTGGCATTCTCCATATTTTGCATAGGCCATCTTAACATCAGGTGTTACCCAAGGGCTTGCTTGGTTGACCCACTGTGTTATCAGATCATTTTTGCAATATACTTTCTGGGCCCCCCAGTCCTGGCCAGTCAAGTCTAGAATTTGTCAGGCACACTACTTTTAGCTGAAGGTACTGAGGTACTGGATGTGGGGTAGGAGTGGGAGGAAGATGTGCTCCACTACAAAGTTCCACCTCCTTGGGGCCAGCGATTTAGCTCAGTAGCACTGCACCTGCCTCACAAGCACAAGGTCCCAGGCTAGATCCCCAGTACCAAAAACAAAACAAAAAGCAAAGTTCCACTTCCTCTGGAAGTTGGAGAGGGGACAGGTACTGCCCCCATGAGGTGGAGGTATTCAAGCTGCCAACATGGTCATGACCTCTTGCTGGAAAACAAAACCCAGGCTCTAGGCACAGGGCAAGATGGAATGAGGAGGTTCACAGGAGATGACACTCACCCACTTTGCAATGGGGCACCCTCGGGAGCTCTTCCCCTCCTTCCCGGTGTAGATGACTTTCTCAATCCGGATGGCTTTCCCCTTCTCTCCATACCTAGAGGGAAACAGAAAATCCCATGAGCACATTGGAACCTCAAAGGAGAACAGCTTACAGTAGTAGAAAGGCAAACTCTGATGTGCTTTACTTTGGGTTTCTGGTTATTCTGGTGTAAAGAGAGAAGAAAGAAAAATGTTTAAATGGTTATTCTGTGCTTAGAGGCTCCAGGGTTGCTTCTAGGTTCCTAGGCCTTGGCTAGGAACCCCTTCCACACGTCCATCCATCCACACTTCCGTCCATCCAACCTATCTCTGTCTCAGGCAGAAGAGCAGCCAGGAGAACGTCCCTAATTATTGCCCGAGGTTCTAGGAAGGATCCTGAGACTAATGGCTAAATATAGGCATTTGTCCCCAGTCCTGTTGAGTCACCCTGAGAGCTAGTCATATATTCAATACACAAAAGAAAATAATTGGGGGAATCCTATTTTTCTCGTTTAATCACCCAAGCTCAACTCTGACAAACAGCTGAGGGCAGGGAAGGGAAACTACCACACACAAACACTGTTGCCCTGGTACAGTAGACACTTCTGATTCCAGCACATACGACTTCTCTGGCCCATACACTCAGGACTGCAGAACCTTGGGTCTCTAGGACCATCTCATCAACTACATCATATTCAGAGGTGATGGAAGTATGGCCCCAGACTTAAACCAAGTTGTCCAACGCCACACAACTATATGGGGGCAACTGTGACACAAGTACAGTATGGGAAGCAGACAGACTAGATTTAAGTGCGAGCCTAGCTACCTTCTTGATATATAACTGGCCAAATTGCTGAACTTCTCAAAGACTCAGTTTTTCCATCTATAAAATGCAGATAATAGATTTTCATTCCAGGAACATTATTAAATCACATTTGCAGACAATGGTCATTTGCTACTTCCACCTTTCCACTCTATACCTCTATTCCATTCTCTCATCTCTCTGAGCTGGCCTAGTGCTTGTGACATGCTAGCAGGTCTCTCTGCTTATTTCTCAACTTCGCTGAAAATATTCCCAACAATATATCACTATGCATGAACCTGGCTGGGCTGGAAGAAATACTTCCTCACTTTGAAGAGTGATACTAAGGTTCTCTTGTTCTAAGGATTTCATATCAAGAATTAACTTGTATCAAGTATACTTTTAACATCTCAGGAGATAAGTGGATGAATTTTTTCTTATTGAGTTTATTAGTACTTTTTAGATATACAATACAGTTACATTCATCATTGGGATTGTGTGCCTTTACATAACGTATCTTGGTTCTTATTTTTTCCCCGCACCCCTGCCCTCCCTTCATCCCCTCCACCCTTCCCTATTTACAGAGACTTTGTTTCTGTTTTTTCCTTTTCTCATATTTTTTTCTTTTCCCTTCTTTCCTTTCCTCTACCCTTCCCACGTAAGACTCTCTAAATCAAACTCTTTAATTTCTATATAAATTCAATTTCATTATTGCGTATTTTAATATACTATTTAATACAGCATAATGTTATCATAGCTATTACAGAGACATAGTCTTTAATCTTATTCATTACACTTGTAGGAATTATTACCTCAAAAATAAGTGTACAAATGTATTAGGCTGGGAACAGTGGTACAACATTGGGGAAGACTGATTATACTTGGTTCAGTATATATATTTATTTATTTGTGTGGGGTGTGTGTGTGTGAATGTGTAGGAAGATTACAGGTAAACTTCAAACCTTTAAAAAGTTTCTTCTAGGAAGAATGACTGTAGGAGAGCCTTATTCACTCCGTACTTAAGATTTTTTCTTTTAAAAAAAAGTGTTACATTTTGTAGTTGAAAAGGAGAACAAAGATTTTAAAAATGTTTTTAAAAATATTGCTCAAGAGCTCAATGAAAGGGTAAGAAGCTCATCTGATCATTACAACATTAAAATTTGAAGGTTTTGTTAATCCCTTATAAAAGTATTTGGAGGCAGGACTAAAGAGTTTCTGTAGCATGATCTGGATCATGAGGAAAAGATCCCATAGTGCTGTTTTTTGTCTGCTTTCTGGACAACTCGGTTCAATAAACATTTATCAGGTTGTCACCCACAAGCAAAGAGCCTGAGATCCCTGTCAGAAGGGCAGCCTGAGGTTACCACACGACTTCCTGAGACAGAGGACTATCAAGTTCCTCTCAAGAGGATGAGCCGAGGACATGTATGACAGCTTTCCCACCAGGTCCTTCCTTACTATTCTGTACTTGGGAGAAACATGTCCTGCAGGGAGCTTCACATTAGAGAGCATTTAAATAAAAGGGCAAGGCACCACCTGATCTGCTAGACTTTTCTTTTTTTTTTTTAATGGAACTGTTTCTTTGTGTTTAAAGACAACCAATCAACTCTCATTTTTGCTCTTTCTTCTTAAACACCATAATTTCTTGCTTATCATGAAGAGGCCCTGCTAGTATATAAACTCCCAGGCCCTAAACTAAGTCTGCAAGGATAGGTTGAAACTTTTCTCTGAAGTATAACTAAGCTGGGCATGGTGGCCTACTTCTGTAATACTAGCATTTTGGGAGGCAGAGGCAGAAGAGCATTTGAGCTCAGCCTGGGCAATTTATGAGACCCTGGCTCAAAAGACAAAAACAAACAAAACACCTCAAAACAAACAAGGTGGGGATGCAGCTCAGTGTGAAGGTCCTGGATTCAATTCCCAATACCTCCTCCCCCAGAAGAGAATAACTAATAACCTTAACCAGATGCTCTTCAAGGACAGTCCCAGGACCAGCAGCATTGGCCTCACCTCAGAACTTGGCAGGAATGAGAGGTTGGCTCTTGGGGCCCATCCCAGACTTACTGTGCCAGGTGGGTGGGACGCAGTGATCTCTGCTTTTTTAGCCCCCATGAGCTTCTGAGGCCTGCCCAAGGTTGAGAACAACTGAACTAAAGCTGTGGTTCCCCTCCTCCACAGTACTGGAATGAACGCATGGCCTTCACATTGAGCTATGTTCCCAGCCCTTTGTGTTTTTTTTTTCCTTTTTGTTGTTTGTTCGTCTTAACACAGACTTGCTAAGTTGCCCAGGCTGGCCTCAAACTTTGGATCCTCCTGCCTCAGCCTCCAGGGTACTGGAATTACAGGCATGCCACCATGCTCTGTTTCTTCATAGTTAGCTCTACCACCAAAAGAGGTCAGACCACCTGAAGCTCAGAGGACTTGCTAGCACAGCGTGGGTTCTTTGTTTCTACAACAAGCATTAAATGAACTCCTACGATGTGGAGAATTCTTTTCCTAGATAGAACACACAAAGATCTAAGCACCACACCATTCTCAGATACGAATTTGACAACTGATTCCAATTACCTATAGCAATGAGGATGACTTGGGTACCCAAAAGATTTGAAGCCCATAAATAAATGCTATTTTAGGATTTGCTTTCATTCTCTCCCTCCTTTCTCCAACTCTGTACCAGAGAAGCTGTAATGACCACTGTCTCCTTGATTTTAGTTTATTTCCTCTCCCTGGCAGAAACCCCAGATAGTGGAGTGGCCCTGCAGAGACAGAGTAGAGGGAAAGGTCTAGAAAGACAGAGAGCCAGGAGTGTCACAAACTGAGCCCCAAGGCAGGGGAGTTTCCTCACTCATTCCCCTCTTTGTTCCGAAAGGATTTTAGGATGTCTATAAAATAAAAAGAACAGGTAAGGACCAGGGATGTAGCTCAGTGGTGCCATGCCTACCTGGCAAGCACGAGGTCCTGCATTCCAATTATGGGAGGGTTGACATCCAGGTAAGAAATGAGTGAAAGGGGGGAAAAAGACAGGTTTGTTGGTAAAGAAAATGTGATTGCATATGTGTATGTGTGTGTGTGTGTGTGTGTGTGTGCGTGTGCGTGTGTGTGTAATACTTCGGACTGAACCTAGGCCTTTACACTGAGCTACACTCCCAGCCCTTTTTTATTTTTAGGGAGTGTATTGCTAGGTCACTAAGTTGCCCAGGATGAAATCAAACTTGAGATCCTCCTGCTTCAGAGTGGATAGAGTATCATATGAGAAATAAAAAACATAAAAGACTCCTTGTAAGAAGTACTCAGGAGTGACCTGAATAGGTTCCCATGGCCAAAGGTTAAAAATCATATTCCTCCTAGTGAGTGGCACAAACTCTGGCTCTAAACTTATTAGCAGCCAAAATAAAGATGGGAATGAAATCTGTTTATGATTTACAAGGTCCTTAAGATAAAAATAAACCAGTTGCTGAGGAAAAAACACAAATATTCCTGGTTTTGAGAGGAATTCCTCTCTTGAATCTATTTTTGAAGAATTTTTAAAACAGGGCCGGGAATTTAGCTCAGTGGTGCCGCCGCCTGCCTCACAAGCACAAGGACCCGAGTTCAATCCCCAATTAAAAAAAAAAAAAAGAAAAAGAATTCATTAAAACAATGAAGAAAAGAACCCCACAACTCTCAGCTTTATCATTATCTCTCTTTTTGTTTTTGGGTACTGGGGATCGAACTCTGGCCCTTGTGCTTGCAAGGCAGGTGGCAAAACCACGGAGCTAAATCTCCAGCCCAGCTTTATCATTATCTCTTAATCCTTCTTTCAAAATGTACTGTTCTATACTTTTAGACAGATGTCTATAAACTTTATAAATAACCCCCCCAAACCCCAAAAGAACAAAAACAATAACAAACACCAATCCCAGATCAAACTGGTACATTTGACTCCCCTGCAGCAAACAATGTGACATTCCTTATAAAAATTATTGGCCAGGGCTGGGGATGTAGTTCAGTGGCACTGTACCTGACTGGCAAGCACAAGGTCCTGAATTCGATCCCCGGCACCCTCCTGCCCAATTACTGGCCAAATTCTGCCTGGTCCAATATGAAAACTGCAGTATGCACACATGTGGCCACACACAACAAGCATGTCCAACACACATACTGTTTAAACCCGTTTTGTTCTTGTGGGTTCAGAAGTGACCCTTAAACCAGGACTGAATTTATTGGATGGGCCTTTGATGAGATATTTTTCTAATGGGCTACTCTGAATATAAATGCTTCCAGATGGTACAGGAAACTAAGAGTGATTATGGCAGGTCAGTGACCTCCATCCATCTCACCTCTCAGCCATTCAGTTCAAAATCATGTTCCTTCTATACTGACAGGGCTAGTCGGGCTCGCCAGGTCAGACAAAATCTGGTTCCCAAATGTATAGAAATTCAGTCTATTACACATTGCTTGTACATGTACAAGCAAATGCATGTTTGTGTCTGTATCATTACTGCCTTTAAACTACTACTGATTATAACAAATGCAGTGTATTAAATAGATGAAGTAGACAATGACTGCCCTCCCTTTACAGAGTATGTGTAAGAAATACCACATATATTTGATGCATCAGTTGTGTACCTGCACAATGCTCCCACAGTGTATATATTTTTGCAGTTTATCCTTACAATGCTTCCACAGTGTTTGTGCTTTTGTCATCATCTCTATTTTGTATATAAGAAAGCTGAGTCACAGAGGAATACACCAATTACCTAAAGACTCAGCAGTAAGTGGCAGGACAGCTCCAGCATGCATATTCTCACCAACAAATCCATATTACCCCTGCACAGACCAAAACTTAAGAGTGTTTACTACCAGCTGTGGACATGCACATAGATTTTAGGCTCTTACTGGTAGGAAGTGCTTTAAAAATCAGTATTCTTAAGTAAAAACTCTACAGTTTTGAATTTTTTTTGGTACCAGGGATTAAACTCAGGACCTTGCACTTGCAAGGCAAGTGACAGAACCACTGAGCTAAATCCCCAGCCCTCTACAGTTTTGAATTTGAATGTCAATATAAACTTATGATATATTTAACCACTAAACAACAACAAAAATTAAAACTATAAACAAAAATAAAAATTGTAATAGGAACAACTTAGGTCTTTTTACTGAAATGGTCTAAAAACAAGGAACAACTCACTGTAGCAATGAGCATTCTTAGTTCCCAGAGTTTGTTTTCTAAAAACTTTTCCTGCCAATAAAAGAAAGACTTCTTGAATAAATGTACATGATACAAGAACATATTTTTTTTCTCTTTTCAGTACCAGGGATCAAACTTAGGACCTTGAATTTGAAAGGCAGGTGTGGCACCACTGAGCTATATCCCTGGCCAAAGCCCAAAACATCTTGACATACTAAAAACCAAGACATGATACCACCTATGAAGAAGTTCTGGGGAGGGGGAAGGCAGGAAGGAGGGAGGGAGGGAAACAATCTGATTCCAATCAGGCCTTTAGCTCTAACTACCAATTTACATGACTTACAGAGGGTGGAAGAGCATGTTAAGTAACACAAGGGGAGAGCTATAAGCAAAATTCAGATTGTGAGAACCTAACTCTGCAGGACATATAACCACGAAGCCTTGTTTCTTCAATAAAAGTATTTCAGGAAGAAGAGAAAGGAATCTTATGGAGGGCTGACATATACAAGCAGATTATAAGAAACCCAGAAGGACTCAAAGTGAGATTCCTGCATGCAACCTGTCACGATATGAATACCAAGGCTTCCTTTTCGTATACAAGACAATAAAAATAAGAGGTGCTTAAAAATCCACATTCCTTTAACACCACCATTTCTCCTTGAATGTCCAATGTAACACTCACCGCTCCTCCATGAGTTCCCGGATAGAAGCTACTGTGGGGCCAGATCCCAGATGAGTATAATAGGGACCTTCATCCTTCTCCACTATTTGCTCTGCAGAAATACCAAGAGTAAGCATTACTTGAAGATTTCAACATTAATTTAAAATGGTAAACCACCAGTAGGAACATTAATAGACATGTTACAAAGCAGGAAACTCAAATGGCTTATAACTATATGAAACACATTCCATCCCTTCAGAAATCAAGAAATACAGTAAAATCACAATAAAACATCATTACACATCCCTACCAAATGGACAAAAATTTAGAAATCTGAAAATACCAAGTATTATCAAGACTGTGGTCTAACCACTTGGCAATTCATCTCACCAGTTACCCAGTAAAGCTAAACAGCTGCACATGTGTGACCCAGCAAATTCACATCTATCTACCCAGTCTAGTCTAGGGTCAGCAAGCTACTCCAAGTAAACTCCAAAAGGGACTCAATGCCAATGCTCATAGCACCATTTACAACCAAAAGGCATAAACAACACAAGTGCCCATCAACAGATGAATGGAAAAATTAAATGTGGTACATTCATACAATGAATATTACTCAGCCATGTGGCTATTCCATGGATGAACCTTGAAAACATTATGCTAAGTAAAATATATCAAACACAAAAGGATGAATACTATTTGCTTGCACTTATACAAATTAGAAGAGAAAAATTCATAAAGACAAAAAGATTACAGGTTATCAGGGAGTGGGAGGAGTGAGGAACAGAGTTATTGCTTAATGGGTAGAGTTTCTGTTTAGGGTGATGAAAAAGTTTGGGAAATAGTGGTGACAGTTGCACAATATTTTGAATTCAATTAATGCCACTAAATGGTATTCATACTTATATATGATTATAGTGGCCAATGTTATGTTTAATATATCTTAGCATAATTAAACAAGTACTGACACATGTTATAACATAGGTGAGTTTTGAGAAGATTAAGTTAAATGAAATCAGTGAGATACAAGAAGGTATGATTCCATTGATCTGAAATATCCAGAACAGATAAATATGTAAAGCCAAAAAGCAGATGGTGGTTGCCAGGGGTTTGGTGGTTGTGGAAGAGATAGGGTGTAACTGCTTAACCAGTAGATTGAATTTTGGAATAATGAAAATGTTTTGGAATTCGACAAGTGGTGTTTGCATAACGTTATGAAAATACTCCACGCTGCTGAAGTGTTTGCTTTAAAATGGTTAATTTCATGGTATGTGAAGTTCACCTCAATTTTTAAAAACACACACACTATTGGTTCATGTAACAACACGAATGAGGGTTCTTTCAGTGGGTGTGTGTGGTACCACAGACTGAACATAGGAACTTCAAACTTAGCTTTATCCCCAGCCCTTATTTTTTTATTATGAGACAGGGTCTTGCTAAGTCACTAAGTTGCTCAAACTTGCAGTCTTCCTGTCTCAGCTTTCCAGAGTGCTGAGGTTACAGGCCTGTGCCAACATGCCCAGCCCTATGGGTATGTTTTAAATGGATTTTTCTAAGTGAAAGAAATAACTCAATAATAATAACTTTGAAAAAAGTGTTCTGCTCAGATACTATAAGGCTAAAAGCAAGAACAACTACACATATACCAGTATACATACTATACTTCAGTTGTAAGTTTGTTTCATGTCTAAGGAAATATAATGACTGAATGCAACATAGTATGCTACACTGAATCCTAGAATAGAAAAAGGATATTAGTGTAATATGTTAAAAAATTTAAAAGTCTGTCATTATGAGCACTGTACCAACGAATCTTAGTTTTAAATATACTATAACTATGTAAGGCATATATATTAGGGAAGATAAGGGTATGCAGAAATATTCTGTACCAACTTTGCAACTCTCCTAAAATTATTTCAAAATAAAAAGTGTTTGTAGTTTTTTTTTTTTTTGAGACAGGATCTGGCTACATATTTCAGTCTGGCCTTGAAATCACTATGTAGTCCACGCTGGTCTCAAACTCATAATAGTCCTCCTGTCTCAGCCTCCTGGAGATTACAGGCATGTGCCACCACACCTGGCTGAAAGTTTTTAAAAAAACTAAAACAAGGCGGAAGTAAAAATTTGTGACCTTGTTCTATAAGAAATCCTGATCACACACATCAAAACACATATAAAGAGGTTCTCACAGCTACAGTTTCCAAATCATAGTCAAAACTTCAAACAACCTGCTCTGGCTAAAATACCGTACCCTTCCAAAGTCATACATTGAAGCCTAACCCCAGTGTGATGCTAAGAGAAGGTGAGGCTTTGAGAATCAGGTCAAGAGAGCAGAACCTTCATGAATAAAATTAATGCCCTTTAGAAGTAGAGACACAGAGCAAGAGCACCCTTACTTCAATCCCCAGGCCAAGTGAGGACCCCAGAGAGATGGCTCTGGTTCAAGCCAGAAAATGGGCTCTCACCAGATAACGGATCTGCTGGCCATCAGACTTTGGAATTCTCAGCCTTTAGAGAACTGTGGGAAATACATCCAGCGCGTGGTAGTTTTGTTATAGCAGCCCAAAGTAAGACACAACCCATAATCCACCAACAGTGGAATAGATAAGTAAAACATAGTAGTCACACAATGGAATAAACACAGCTAGCAATGAGAATCAACAACTTGTACCCCCATGGCTTCTATGCCATCATAGTGAGTCAAAGATCCACAAGACAGTAACAATGCAATAAGTCAATTAAAAAAATATTCAGAGGCTCTGCTAAACTATATTGTTTAGAGATTCAGTGGTAAAACTCCAAGGCCTAAAACATGAAATTACAGATGCTCAATGATTTGTTACCTATAAAAATGGCAATTCCATATGGCTCAACCTTAATACAAAGAAAGGCAAAGTAATCAATGTCATGAAAGTCAAGAGTATGATGGCCTCTGAGGGATGGGAGAGAAATGTGACGTGAAGGGTATACAGAGAATCCTGGAGTTAGAGATGATCTATTTCTTGATATAGGTCCATGGCAGTGAATCTACAGCACACATGCCACAGCTGACTGTTATCAATGAAAGCTCTAAAACGTTCGCCATCACAGATCTAGGTGGTTATGCATGTGTTCATTTTATAAATTTTCATTGTACTGTACATAAATGTTTTATGTACTATCATATAGTTTTTTGGTTTTTCTGTGGGTGTACCAAGGACAGAACTCAGAATCTTGCACTTGTGAGGGAGGCATGGCACCACTGAGCTAAATGACTGGCCCTCAAGATTTTTAAAATGTAAGAAACATTTTACTTTCAAGACTGGGGAATGGGCCTTTGTGTTGAGCTTTACCCCTAGTCCTTTTTGAGACAGGATCTTGGAAAAACTGCTGAGCTGCCCAAGCTGGGCTCAGATCTGCAATCCTCTCACTTCAACCTGCCAGACTCCTGGGATTATAGGCACACACTATCATGCCTGGCTAATTTCTACCTATTTTTGCAGAACATTATGCCCAACTTTATGGGGGACATAAGACTGGATAATACCCAATTACTGCCTTTAAAAAGTGACGTAGCTGGATAGATAAGACTGACACATAAGTACTTAATGACACTTTCATATCATTGAAGAAAGATTAAATTTTTAATACATGGTTTTGGAATAAGTGAGGGGCAGAAGTTTGATCCATGGTTGAAAGAGTTAAATAAAAAACATGCCAGTGCATGAAAAAAGTTAGAAGTTTTAAAAAATAATTACAGAGTGGGGAAGATCTTCTATAAGGTACAACAGGAAAATTTAAGGAAAAACTTTATAGTAACAACTACCAAAAGTCAACCTGAAGATAAACAGCATACTGGGGAGAAGTATGAGGAACTTGCACCAAACAAAAGCTGATTAAGATTACCAACGTAAGAAAAATGAAGAAAAAAAAAGATAAAAATGAATTTTAGAAAAATGCAAATGGCTCAATTATATATAAAGCTATAAATAAGATGCCATTGTTCTCCTGTCAGATGAGTCATCAACACAAACCTTGATAACTCAGTTGTTGAGGATATTAGAAATAAGCAGTATGGAAAGTATTAGCAACATATTAAAACTACTTATGCACAATCTATTCATTTTTTTTTTTTTTTGTACCGGGGATCAAACTCAAGTCCTTGTGCTTGCAAGGCAGGTGGAGGACCCACTGAGCTAAATCTCTGGCCCTGCACAGTCTATTTGATCCAGCAGTTTCAAAGAATTTATTTCTAGGAATTTGGTTCTACTTGCATATGTTTAAAATAAGTGACATGACTATTCACTGTATCAGTGTAATGGAAAAATATCAGAAACTTACATTCTATTATTAAGGGCTGGCTAAACAGATTATGTCACATCTATAAAATGAGACAGTAAGCAGCTGGGATTAGGCAGCTGCAGATTTACTGACAGAAAATTACTTCTAAGATTCCCTTTTTTTGAGGGGGACAGACTTTCAGTATATCAAGTATAATACGCTAGAGTAGCATACATACACAATCACATGGGCCAGGGATTTAGCTCAGTGGTTCCTCCGCCTGCCTCACAAGTGCAAAGTCCTGAGTTCAATCCCTGGTACCAACAAGAAGTAATACATACACAATCACACACATTCATACACATGCAAGCACAGTGATCTATATAATATATATACTATCATATATATTTACCAATAATGAAAATAGAGTAAGAGGCAAGTGTAAACGGAGTTCAGTTGTGTTCTTGGTTTTTTTTAAAAAAGGTTAGGCCAGATGTACTGAGTGGCATACACCTGAAATCTCAGCACTCAAAAGACTGCTGTGAGTTCAAGGCCAGCTGGGACTACATGGTGAGCTCAAGGCCAGCCTCAACTACATAACAAGACCGTCATCTCAAAAAAAAAAAAAAAATTAACAATGCTATGTGCAGCCCATCAGATGAACTGATCAAAGTTGCCTCCCACTTACATCTCTTGCTCATGAAGGCTCTTCATTCATCCCTCCCTAACCTGGGTCAGGCTCCTGCCTGAATTATTATCGTGGTCTCCTAACTGATCTCCTCTCTTCTAAGTCATCCTATATAATAACCTAGTTATGTGACCAAAACAGAAATCTCACACCAGTCCCCCTGA